CGAGCCGGCGGGAAGCGCGATCCGTCTCGCGCAGGTAACGGCCCCTTGCCCCTTCCCCCTCGCTTCCCGGGGCTCCCGCCGCCGGGCCGTTCGTGCCGGGCCCAGGCGGCCACCCCTCTCCTGCCCGCGGGGAAACCGCCGCCGCCCCGAGCGCGCTATCCCGGGGCGGTGCCGCCCCACCGGGAGCCCCTCCGGGGCCCGGAGCCGGAGGCTGTCGGGTGTCGTATCTGATCCGAGCGCTGACAGCGCCGCGGGCGGCGGCGGGGGCGCTGCGGGTGCGAGCTCGGCCCGCGGCGGCGGCGCCATTGGGGCGGGGGGGCTGCGGCGAGGCCGGGCGGACCCCGGGGCGGGGGAGCGGCTGCCCCGGGCTCGGCCCCGTCAGCCTGCCGGGCTGGGCCCCCGGGCGCTCAGAGGAACCTGGGGTGCGGTTGCTGTTGTCCTCGGTACGGTGGGGCTCTGTCCGCTGGAGCGGTGAATTGTGTGTTTAGTGCACCAGGGGGTGGAGGCGAGTCAGGCATACGAGAAGCACGAGCATGRAAATTGGAGTTCAGCGCGGTGTGAGGATTTGCAGTCTCAAGTATGAGAAGGCGTGACAGACATACTGGAATGAAGTAAGAAGAGGAATAAAAAACCAGGAGAGACGGAGCGTATAATGGGTCATAAATACATGAAGAAGCAGTAGAGGTTGATAATAGCACGCTTTTTTTGTAGCACGCTTTTTTTTCCTGTTGCGAGGAAGTTGAGAGGCAGCCTTAGAATAAAGTGTGGAACCTTCACTCCTTTAAATTCCCGAGAAATTGTGGCCCAGACATTTTCACCTTTAAGGCACAGGCATTCTCTTGTGCCAGAAGTTGTCAGGGAACATTTTTCAAGCATTGCAGGTTTCTTGTATGTGCTGCTTGCATGTGTGGTCGTTGGGCGTGTTTCATCAGTTTGCTTGATTTAGAAAAGTATTTGGTGGGGATTTTTATCTTGAATCACATTTGACTTCTGGCTTGCAAGAGCTTGGGKTTTCTGTCTATCTTGAACTTGTGTTTTTATTTTTTGTGTATGTCTGTCTTTCCAGTCTTACTCTTTGTACCAGTGATCACAAAAACTGCTGACCTCTCTCCTGGTGTCTTTTGCTGTCTCTTCTATTGTTTTTCTACAGGTTAGTTCATCAAATAGATTTTACTGCGCTGACTTGGCATTGCATAGCCATAATAAACCCATCACATTTTTATTCTTTTTTCCATTCCCCTTGGCTATGTTCTTGGCATCTCTGTGTAATATGAGATACTTTATCTTCCTAGAATTGTGTCTGGACCCAAGTCTTGAAGAAGCAGCATTGTTGGAAATACTGATGCTGTGGTAGATGTTTACAATTAATACGTATGTCTTTAGACTCAGCTGGGAAATGTTAGGGTGTGTACAGCTTGCATCTAGCAGCTTAATATGTTCAGTTGGATTCCTGCTGATAAAGAGTCCCCAGGAAAGGAGCACAATTCTTATATCTTCTCAGGGGCATGAGTGCAAAGGTCTRTATCACTAAAATTCCTGAATAGGGATTTTTAAATACACTGATACAAAGAATTTTTTTTTTTTTACGTGTTCACCGTTCTCTTTCAGCCTCTGCTCCCATTCAAAATTATTACTGATAGATACTTATTGGGGAAAGTGTATGCTGTTCTGAGGAGTGTGTTCACCCTTTCTGAATGATCATTCTTGCATGGCTGTGTTTTTTCTGTTTTTCCTTTCTCTGTCMAAGTTCCTAATGCTACTTTGGGGGAAAAATCGATGCAGTATCCTAACTGCTGGGTTACATGTTTCCCCTTTTGTATCTATATTTTTTTATAGGTAACAAAATAATTGATGCAGCTCTAGGACRTTCTGTTTACATGCGAAAGAAAACAGAAACACAGTATCTGTAGAAAAGCAGATGATTGAAAAGTGACTGTTCAAAAGTCATGAACATTACAACATGAAGATTTGTTTGTTAAATAGTTTTGTTTTGGAAGCAAATGACCTACAAAGTATGAACTTACCCTATCTCCCATTGTGAAAGATGGGTAAAGAAATCCATGGTAGTACTCTGTACTTCTTACTATATCTATGTTTCTGTTAGGCCTCCAAAACTTGATGCACTTATAAGATTATCTTTGCATGGTAGGGGGAAGATTCTTTTAGTTTTTCTACTACAAGTAGGGATTCTGGCACTACTTCTCTAAAAGGGTAAACAGGAAATGTGGTAGGATCATAGATACACAATGATTGTCTATCTTATTGTTAATAAGACCATAACTTGCAAGTAATATATACAACAGTTGAAGAATCATTGGTTGGAACAAGATACGATGCTTTAAAATATGGGAAAGATTTATAATATTATRTAAATTTTGTTCCTAAACCACTAAAAATATCCTGAATTAGTAGAATTTCATGAAAACTAGATGTTTATGTGAATCTTAAATATATAGATTCACATAGAGTAAAGTAAGATTCTACCTGTAATTCGGTATTAATTGAACCTATTGGGAAACTTTTTTTAATAGTTCAGGTTGCTCCTTAACTATTTCCTGCATATTTTTCTGAAATGTGATTATTGATTATCAGTTACTGAGTCATCAGCCACAAACCTCTTCAGAATCACTCTGATTTTTCCTTTAGTGCCTATTTTAGAGTAGGTGGGAAGTGATACAAATTCTCAATAGTTTTAAAAATTTCCCATTTATTAGTCTTTAACATTGACATCTAAGAACCCGGTGTTCAGTGTGTTGAACTGGAGACTGTTCTTAAGGAATATATCTAGCATTCCAAATTATAATGTGAGTTTGGTTATTGAAACAGCAGYAATAGTCAAACAGACTCAGATGTACATTTCTGCTTTCTTCAGTCTTGCCATGAATGTCTGAAATGCTTTTTTTCAATCTGGGCATGTTCAGTATTGCTTGTCCTTCAAGACGACATGCAGAGTTATTTGCTGCCTTGGTAACTGCCTTCAGGCAAGAAGGTATAATTTTTATGCATTGATCAGATATTTGGCAGGAGAAAAAATAGTATGAATCAAAGACTAAATATTTCAGGTTTTATTAGATTGGGAATTGTAAATTGAGAAAAGTTKTCTAGGGCCTTTAATGCGTATTTCTCAAACTATCACAGCACAGAATCTTGAGTGGCGGTGATCCTGTTACAAGATTTCTTCAGGCAAGAGATTATATTGATTGGAAAAAGTAACTAGTAGCTTTATTGGCCTTCCTCCAGTCATCAGAGATACCTGTGTTATATGAATAAATGCAAGAATGCAAGATACCACATTTTCTGCTTTTGCTGTCTTCACCTATTTTAGAAAGGTGCCAAGACACTTTGTGTTTGGGACATCACAGGGAAAACAGAGAGCTTGAGCATTTACATTTCAAGAGGAGATTTCCCAGACAGTAACTGAACATCATGGTTTGCCCCTGATGTGAGACTCAAGCACATGGAACTAGTATGTGCATTGGGTCCAAGCTGCAGTGCCACTTAGTCTGCAGGTGTTTTGCTGTAGGGAGGAATATAGCTCATGAGTCTGAACTGTGATGGACAGAGCARACCTGTTTGTGTGACAGCAATATAGTGCAGCACAGTCATCATCCCMGGGAAAGGAAGTCATCTTTGACATCTTGGGTAGGTTCAAACTTCCAACTGTCTTAGCTCTGTGCTAAAGAAAATGCATCGTTGCTAGCTGATTTCAGGATGAACAGTGAGCAACTAGATAGCTGAACAGCAGTCTTCAGTAGTTTCCAGCTCTTGGTGAAGAATTTCAGTTTAGATGGTGCAGTTTSTGGTGGAGGCATATGTTAGTGAAAGCCTTATGCCAGAAGAGGAGTCCTTGTCCACAAGCAATCTTGTCTTTCCCATGTATTCATGCTACCCTTGTATCTTCAGTCTGCTCAGTATATCATGGCCTGGTTTTTTTGTTTTGTGTTTAGAAAAGGTGTTCTGGTTTACTGACTGCACTGTTAGAGGCAGAGTGTTAGTCACAAACTGACAAACTGCAAGTTTTGATAATGAGTCTGTACTGATTTAGAGTAGATGTATAACTGATTTAATGGCTTGGCTTGCAGTAGTAAAGTCCTAGGTAGACTTAAGATTATGTAAACTGGGTTTAAAACSGTATCACTCTGGAATTTTTACACTGGTTTGACTAAATTGCTTATAAATAGCATGGGACAACTAGCTTGAGTATTGCTGAAATCCATGCAAATGAGCAGGCACTTTGGGTTCTTTGTCCTTTTCAGCAGCACATCTCAAAGAGATCTTGAATGAGCATGTGGATAAGAGGATGAGTGTTTCTTGAGTATCTGGTGTCATGCTGGTGTGGTATCTGGCAGGCTTTCCTYTGCAGAACATTTTTTAATTCTCTGTATTGTCTCAGAATTGAATGCTCTCCCAATTCATGTAAGAACCCAGATGACTGTCTTATTTTATTTTTTCTTTAAATTCATTTGAGTTTTTCAGGACCTTGACTTCTTTTTTTCACCACCATCAAAACTGTTCTTTTAGGTAGCTTTCTCTTATATCTCCAGGCTGTTTTGTACTGCACCTTTCACAAAAACAATGTAGCTGTTATCCACTAGATTTCAGTATTTCACATGTCAAAGTAAAACTGTTGTTCTTCAAACATCTTATCACTTAAAATTCAGGCTTTCACTGAACCCATGCATATTCTCTGCTATTTTTGTCCCAAACTATGCAGTTCAAAAGATATTCCAACATAGRCATGCAATCCACAAATCTTTTAGACTATTCAAAAGGGAATATTCATGTCTACTTTTTCCAAAGCAGAGGAGCTTGTAATTCAAATCAAACATTTAGCAGACTGTCCAAGTCTACATACAGAAAAGATACCATCTATCTTAATATATGTAGAGATTGGCAGGATGAATACAAGGCGTCTTATTATCTCTGCAAAATCTTACAAGATATAGTTTTGATAAATGTTTCTTCAGAAGACTATGAAATATTGATCTTTCAGGAAGAGAATGTTTTTTGAMTGTCACAGCTAGCTTTTGCATT